TTAATGGGTTTTAAGCATGTCTTTTTTTTTCCTTGTCATATCTTTTTTGTAACATTTTCTTGCCATATTTAGACAGTCTCTCTTTTTTTTCAGATAGAAAGTTATTTCACACAAATGCAGAAAATATTAAACAAACATTTAAACAATTCTAAGGTCAAATTTAAGTTGCAAGAAGTTACAGTTTTAAAAAGGGTAAGTCATGAAATACCATATCAAAATATTACTTTTTAAAAAATTTTGTATGAGTTAATTGGAAAATAATCAATATCTAGGAGAGTCATTATGTATTTCAGTAATTAAATTAAATTGGAATTTTTTACATGATCACACGTCATTGAAACTAATTTTAAATTTATTTTAGTATTCTTTTCTATTCATTCCTTAGATTTTTTTGTTTCACTGATGTTAAATCTAAATATTCAAAATGCAATCCATTTCTCTACATTCTTAATATATATTAAGTATAAAGACTACGCTTCTTATTTATCAGCTTTGTATTTTTCTTACTTGTGGACTATAAGTTAATTGCGATTCTTTATAATAGCTGTCAACCCTACTTGAATTTACACTGTTATCACAATTTTCAATTCATGAATGACTTCAGAATGTTTTGTAAAAAATTTAAATGTTTCGGTCCCAAAAGTCAAAACCATAAGATAAGCGCATTATCTAATAAATGATATTTAGTTTGCCTGCGTCCACATTTTATATTGCGTCTTATTTTTTTTTATTAAATAATAGATTTTATTTAATGACTTTTTATAACTTATAATTTTTTTGTCGATAAATAATGCTATCATACATATCTGCGCACCTGGAAAGTCATGAATTTCGGTATTGAACAAAATTTGTCATGAAATGTCATGATTTTCAACAAAAAAATCATGGACTTAAATCGCCGAAAAATCTAATTTTTAAAATGGAATTTTCCTCCCTCCCCCAATTTCATGGTGTTCCGAGTATCTGAATTTGTAACAAAATCCCCACTCACAGTCATATTTTATTAAAATATCAAATGTTTTTATCATATTCTTTAAAAATTATGTTCTTTCAACAATTTCTAGAGGGAATTATCTTTCAAACTTCTGTGATTTCAAAATTTTTATTATTATTTATTTTATTAATTTCAAATTCTAGCTGAATCAAGCCAGTCATTGGCGAGTTTTTTTTTATTCAGAAGAATCAGGAGTATTTCTTTCCTTTCCGATGAACAAGAAAAGTATCTTTAGAATATAATTCTGCAAAAAAAATATTTGCTTTTGCATTTTTTCAGCTATTTTATTGCTTCCACTCTTTCTTTACCCTGTTTTTTAAATTTAAAATCTACAAATATGAAGATGCAGAGTAAAACAGTTTTGGTTATACCTATCATTTCAATTAATGTTATTATAATATTTTTTTAAATTTATTTTTGTGTTTTTGTCGGAGAAAATAGTAACTTCATTAAGTCATGAAAATGCTTGGAATTAGTCATCGAAAGTCATGAATTTGAAAACCTAAAATGTAGCAGATACACTGCATACATTTATGTCCATTTTCTATATAAAAAAGTAACTTGCTTAAGCATTACTTATAGAAAAGATAAATTATTCTTCGATTTGCATATTCTAATAAGCAATTTATTTATTCTGTAAAATCCCTACTGGATTATGTGCAGCAAAATTTATCTCCTTAGTATTTATATTCGTGTCGAATATAAATATTGTTTGGGCAAGATCATTTTTAAAATGAATGGAACAAAGAAATCGTACTTATAAATTCAATGAAGTAGGTAAAAGATCATTTTTAGGGGTTAATACATGTAACTTAGTAATGCAAATAGGTCTAATTAAATATGCTATTGATAATCATTTTCTTAATACCTATAGGGAGAAACTTAAGCTGGTAGCGTGTATTGCTTGACAATGTAGTGTTCTATCCTAAGATTTGTTAAGCACCCTAGAAGCTGTTATTTTGCTGAATATCATAAGAAATGCTGGAGGTTTAATAGAGATGAACAAAACTGACCAACTTAATTATTGGGGTATCCTAATAAAATTATACATTCCCTGATTTTAAAGAACTTGATGAGCTTATAATAAACCTATTTTAGGTGTTTTGTAAAAAAATTAGTTTTCAGATTTTGTTGGTTATTTTACCTTGGCAATACGATACGCATGATTTTCAACGCATGATAAAGTACTCTCTGACAATTCACCTAAGGGTGATATATCCCTAGTTGAACAGCAGAGCAATTCATCTTCAGTTTCACCTACAACTGAAAATGAAGATGATCCAGCACAAAATGAAACTAAACAATCAAACAAACTAAAATATAGCTACAAAGAAGGTGTGTGTGATTCGTTTGATCCTAATTATCCTTCACAATTTGAAATCCGATGTTTATGAACCATGTGTTTCATTATAGATCAATATAGTCTTGTAAATAAAGAGGGAAATAAACAATATGATAGAAATTTTCTTCTTCAATTACAATGCGAACCAACGTCCTTAGCAAAACCACAGAACTTGCCATACCTAGGTTTCATTAAAGATAAAGTATATTGTTTATTTTGTTTTGGTGTTATTTTTCTACTAAAATATTTTTGTTGTGTGGGCACAGGAATTTTGGAGAAAAAATTGCCATATCATTATATTTTACAGGGTTCCCACGGGTCAGGGAGAACAGGGAAAACCTGGAATTGTTAGGGAATTTTATTTTAACCCCAAAAATCAGGGAATAGTCAGGGAAAGATGCAATTTTTTTTACAAAAACCTGGAATATTCCTGGAAAATAACCAGTCTTAAAATTGTCATTAACAGTAATCAGTTATTGTGATTCATCTTACATAATTCTAATATCTATTACAATTATTTGTTCTTAGAGGTTCTCATTTTAATCAAACAGAAATGTTCCTTTCCTCATTTAATATTATTTTACATAGAAAATCTAATATTTTACATTACAAATAAAAGAATCAAAGTTTGCTGATGAAAATATAGTCTCAATTTTCATTGAAATTTACAGGGAAAAGTNTATTTTTCTTGCATAAGCGTAGGGATTTTAGGGAATTTCAATATGTTTTATGGCATCAAAATTGTTCTAATTTTTTACTGCAATGTTCTAAACAGTCTGTTTAGACAATCTTTTAATTATTATTTTTTTTAAATAAATAAACATGAATTTATTTCCGAAGTGATGTTATATTTTAAACATTTTGACATTGTTTCCATTAGTTTAAAGACTCAGTTTTTTTTATAAAGATAATATTTTTATAGATATTATGATGCTAAGAAGGAATAAGATATGTTGTAATGGTCACTGTTAAAGTTAACTTTCATTGTCAAAACTGAAAGTGTTGACCATCTCTTTAGCAATCATGCATAAGGTTATAAACTGAAATTAGATGTTGTGAGCTTTTTTTCCCGTCAGAAACATTTAAATTACGGTTATACAGGGTGATTCAAAATGAATATACCTGGAATGACAAATGAACCTGGAATTGTCAGGGAATTTTATTTTAACCCCAAAAATCGGGGAATAGTTAGGGAAAGATGCAATTTTTTTTACAAAAACCTGGAATATTCCTATATTATACCTGGAAAATAGACAGTCTTAAAATTGTCATTAACAGTAATCAGTTATTGTGATTCAACTTACATAATTCTAATATCTATTACAATTATTTGTACTTAGAGGTTCTCATTTTAGTCTAACAGAAATGTTCTTTTCCTCATTTAATATTATTTTACACAGAAAATCCAATATTTTACATTACAAATAAAAGAATCAAAGTTTTCTGATGAAAATATGGTCTCAATCTTTATTGAAATTTACCTGGAAATGTAAGGGAATTTTTTTTCTGAAATAGAGTGGGAACCCTGATTTTATAATATCATCAAATTTGTGTATGTCCTATTCTGTAAAGTTTTAAATATCCAAAAAATGCCAGGCTAAGAAGAATATGCAGGGTATCTGTGCACCTGGAAAGTCATGGATATCAGTATTGGACAAAATTTGTCATTATTTTACCATTTAAACTATTTTTAAAAAAATGGAAATTTGTAGGTTTGAGGCGCTGAAAAATCTAATTTTTAAAAGGGAATTTACCTCATCCCTTCCAATTTCACAGTGTTCCGATGTTCTAAATTTGCAGCAAAATCGCAGCCATATTCCATTAAAATATGTTAACCCCTCGTAGTCATATTCTATTAAGATATAAAATGTTTTTATCCTGTTTTTTTTTAAAAAAATTATGGTTTTCTTTCAAAAAATGAAAGAAAAACATCATTTTTAACAGTTCTAGTTTTGACTTTTTATATTACACTTACATTTAAGAAGAAATAAAACAGCTTTAAATAACTACATATCTCTGACAGTATTTAGTTAGTTGCTTTTGTATTTTTTCAGCTATTTTATTGCTTCAACTCTTTCTTTGCTCTGTTTTTGAAGTTTAAAATCAATAAATATGAAGATGCTGAGTGTATTGAGGGACATAAATTTACAATAAGTAATTTGTCTGTTAAACTCTTTATCGAAAAATCCCGCATTATTGACGATACTGTTTTTAAGGTAGGATTTCAAGAACTTTTAATTGATATACTTTTTATTTCATGGGCTCATATACAGAAGTTGAATGAAGTCAACAGACAAGTGCAAATGCCTGTAATGCCTAACTTTCGAGATCACTTTTTACCAACTTTTGCACAAAGAGGAGTACCTAAAATGGTATGTTTTCAAACATATTTTGCTCATATTTCTGTTAATAGTATTCTTGAAATGCTTTTTTTTTCTTTTTAAAAATTAAATGTTGACTTTTTTTTTTAAATTTAGAAAGTTAAGACAATTATACAAATACGGTTGAAAAATGCTCTTTCAAATTAAATTACTTTTTTCTTCGCATACATATTAAGCTGATATTTTAACCCATATTTTACTACATTTAAAAATAGTTAATATTTTTTTGATATAAAATTCTATCACATACTAATGAAACATCAAGTAGAACATAACATTCAAAAAAATGTCGAAAACTTTAATGCATAGCTGCCAACTCTACTGGATTTTCCAGTAGATTCCTGGATTTTGCCAGTTTCTCCTGGTCTATTGGTTTAATAAAAATTCTCCTGGTTTTTGTACATTTCAGAAAATTCCCTAAAATTAAAGTTTCCTTAAAAACTCCCTATAGAAATAGAATTTTTGTGTAGATTGTTGCTTGCTTGAATATTAAATTAAGTGTCACTATTACATAATGAAGCGAGCTTCATTTATAAAATTCACTTAACTATCTTTGATGAATTAAATGCCTATTACTATTCAAAATTATGAATAAACATAATACATAACATTTCATGTTCATTTAATGTGAAATCATAACTAGAAAATGTTGCAGTTTTTCTATTTTGATAACTTTAAAAATTCCTTTTGTGTAAAATATTTAGTATATTTTGCAACAATTATCATGAAATTTATATTTGAAATGGCAGAAAATATTCAGCGCAAAGTCCTAAATTACATTTTTGGCACACAGTTATGGGTTTTATTACTCTATTATCGTTGTAAGATTGGTTATAAGTTTTATTACTCTATAGGTACTCAATTTTGGATGTTTCTAAAATAATTTTAAAGCATTAATAGTTGTGTCAATAGACAAAGCGCAATTTTCACAAAATTGAAGAAGATAGATGCTAATGAATTAAAGTTAATCATATTTGAAGTGTCCTTTAAATTGGTATGCACTGTGTTAAGTGTAAATCAAACTTTTTTTAAAAGAAAAAATTAAGCTAGTTATTTATTTTTAAATGATAAAATTTTCTATTTATAGAAATTGTTCCACTTAGATTGTTAAAGAAAAAATATTAAATTCACTAAAAATATTTTTAAGGTATATTTTTCTTATTTATTTAATGCTGCAACACCTGAATAGGAATTTTAGATTGTCATGTTAATATAAATGATAAAGTAATTCATTTTTAATTTTCATGCAGTTAGTACTAAAATAGACATTTACTTATTTTATATGTTTATATTTATGCAGTTCATTTCTTTTCATCATTTTATGGAGTTTAAATATTTTTTTATTAAAAAGAAATATTACCTTGATTTAATATGTCAAGCTCATTCATATTAGAATTTGTATTGACTCATTAAATAAAAAACAAGTGTTTATTTCATGCTAAAGCATTTGTGCAGTCACCGACGCAAGCGCATTACAAATGCGTTCTTTGAGTTCTGGAATTGTTTTGGGGTTGAGCTGTGAGAATTCAGGGGATAAAGTGTTCGCTTTCCAATGAGGTGAACAGGGTTCAAATCCCGGTCGATAGGACTTCCGCATCTGGTTTGCACCGACCATAGTGCTGACATAAAATATCCTCTGTGGTAGACGGATCATGGGTTAGAATCCCTTTGCCGTCAGGCTAACAGTTGGGTGTTCTGGTAATCTGCCTCTTCACGTAACGCAAATGCATGGTAATTTCTATCAAAAGGGGAATCTTTCTATCAGAAGGGGAATAGTTTTGAAATGGGTTAATAAATGTATAGTGCTAAAAAAAAGAACAAAAATTACCCTGAATAACTTTTTATCTAATTATCTCATGATTTAAAATATTTCAATTGAAGGATTCCATAATTTATTTTTAATTTAAATTTACAGGATATTATTTTCCTCTTAATAAATAGTCTGCTGTCTCAAATCATCCCCAGTGATCTTTTCCTTGTGCTTTTTTTAAATCCTTTTTCAATGAGTTTAATTATTTTAATATGAAGTTAAAATACAGCAAAAATAGTATGTCCCCCAAAACATTATTTCCTATCACTATTAAGAATTTTCCTCTATATGATGCTTTTACTAAATGTGTGGAAAAATGAATTAGAAAGCTCAGTTCTCAAATAACAAAAGATAAATAAAAAATTTAGCTGTACCAAATTTCATTCAAAAATAAAAGTTTATATATTTAGATACTTCTTACACTGTTAGAAATTTCTCGGAAAAAATAGTTAAATAATAATTTATTGAACGGCTTATCCCGAGCCTATAGCCGAGCGGGCTCATCAGTCAATCTCATGACCGGCAGAACTGGAGTTCGAGTCCTAGTGTTGACACAACAATATTTCCTCCATTTCCTTCAACACAAATCATGTTTACATATCTATGAGTAAAAGGGATTATTTTTATTGGTATTCCTTTTCAAAATAATAATAGTTAAGAACGATTCGTGAACTATTTTTATTGGTTCAATTACTTTTAATTTGGGGATCAACATACTATTTACCTTACTGTTTCAAATAAAAAATAATTACCAAAGAGTTTGTTTTTTTTAAAGAAATTTTTTTTCCAACCCTGGTTATGCATGTTTTTTTTCCAGTTAAAAAAACTTAATTGAAGTTTTCTTCCTGGTCAATTTTTAAAAGTTAAGCAGTCTTTCAATTTTTTTTTTGCATAAGCGTAGGGATTTTAGGGAATTTTAATATGTTTTATAGCATCAAAATTGTTCTAATTCTTTTCTGCAATGTTTTAAATAGTTTGACTGGACAGTCTTTTTATTATTATTATTTTTTAAATAATTAAACCTGAATTTATTTTTGAAGTGATGTTATATTTTAAACATTTTGTCATTGCTTCCTGTAGTTTAAAGACTAAGTTTTTTTAATAAAGATAATATTTTTATAGATATTATGATGCTAAGAAGGAATAAGATATGCTGTAATGGTCACTGTTAAAGTTAACTTTCATTGTCAAAATTGAAAGTTTTGACCATCTCTTTAGCAATCATGCATAAGGTTATAAACTGAAATTAGATGTTATGAGCTTTTTTTTCCTCAGAAACATTTTAATTATGGCTATACAGGGTAATTCAAAATGAATATAGCGACTACAAACAGCTATAACAATTTAAAGAAACAGAATTTATAGACAAAATTTACACAGAATATAGAAGGAGCTTCAAAATTTTGTATACACGCATTACAGATTATTTATGTGACTTCACATAAAACATTGGTCACACGGACATCCTCTAGACGGTATTTCATTACATGCTAAAGCATTTGTGCAGTCACCGACGCAAGCGCATTACAAATGCGTTCTTTGAGTTCTGGAATTGTTTTGGCGTTGAGCTGTGAGAATTCAGGGGATAAAGTGTTCGCTTTCCAATGAGGTGAACAGGGTTCAAATCCCAGCATTGGCTGGTCGATAGGACTTCCGCATCTGGTTTGCACCGACCATAGTGCTGACATAAAATATCCTCAGTGGTAGGCGGATCATGGGTTAGAGTCCCTTTGCCGTCAGGCTAACAGTTGGGTGTTCTGGTAATCTTCCTCTTCACGTAAAGCAAATGCATGGTAATTTCCATCAAAAAGTCCACCACGGTCGAAAATTTCTCACAATACTTGATCCAAGAGTTCCCTTGTCTTCTGAATTGGGTTCAAAATGACAAGACTATGGAGTTGAACATTAGTAGTCGTAAACCAAAAAATTGGGTCGGCTGTTCAACAACGGTTATAAAATAAAATATTAAAAACAAATTTGGGGTTGAGCCGTGACGGCTCAGGGGATAGAGCGTTCGCCTTCCAATAAGGTAAACCGGGTTCGAATCTCAGTAATGGCTGGTCGATGCAAACTCTGCACCCAGCTTACACCGACCACAGTGCTGACTTAAAAACTCCTCAGTGGTAGATGGATATTGGGTTAGAGACCCCCTGCTTTCAAGCTAATCGTAGGAGGTTTTTGTGGTTTTCCTCTCCATGTAACGTAAATGCGGGTTAGTTCCATCAAAAAGTCTTCCACGAAAGCAAATTTCTCCCAATACTTGATCCGGGAGCTCCTTTGTCTTCACATAACCTCATCGATAGAAATTGCAGGTTGTCAAGTCCGAAGATCCTGGTGTCCAGGAGCAGAAAATATCGTCGGCATCTCCACTTCGACTGATTCAATGGTTTGGAAGATGTTGATTTAAACATATGCGAACCATCGTACCGCAGTGTGAGGATGCTCCATCTTGCTGCAAAATGTAATCCGTAAAATCAGTATCCAGCGGTCCCATGAACCCTACCTTAAGCATGTCAAGATAAATATTTGACGCAACACTCACAGAAGGAAAAAGGATGGTGCATTTATGTGATGAGATCGCAACGAACTTTCGCTGAATCACGTTCATAATCAATAACAGTGGAAGCCTTCTCCGTACCCCGCATTCGAATCACTATATTTATTTCGAATTACCCTGTATTTGATTGAGAAAACATGTCGAAATATAATAATAGGTTAATTTTGTGATCGTAAATATTTTTTTTAAAAAATATATATACAACTTTAAAAAACATTTTAGAACCCTCACAATTCAGGAAGATTTCGAATGTATTTACATTTTATTTATTTTTAATTCTTATAGCTACTTTTCGTTTTCTTAATAAAGTATCGAACACCATTGATTTTTAAGAACCTTGTATTTAGATTTCTTTAGACTTTAGTGGCATATATGGTCAAGTCAACTTGCAAGCAGTTTGCAGAAGGGAAATTTGAAATTGTTTGTAAATTTGGTTTTGCAAATATAACTATAAAATTTTTATTTTAATGGCAATAACTTAGCCTTTTTAAAAAGTAACCAAATTTAGTCTTAGCTCTAATAAAAGTCAGTTATTTATGTTGCATTTCCTGTAAAAAGTATTTCTTATAAAATCTTAATGCATTGTTGTAGGTTTTTACAAAATGTCCTGTTTGTTTTCTTACCAAATCTGATATTTTTCACGAATTTCATTTATTAAAAAATGGTATTTCATAACAAGTTTACAAAATGTGCCTATGAAACATTCCTTTTTGTAGCTAAAATGTGTTTTGGAATAAATATTTGTCCAGAAGCGCCATCAGAAGGGGAATAGTTTTGAAATGGATTAATAAATGTATATTGCTAAAAAAAAAGAACAAAAATTACCCTGAGTAACTTTTAATCTAATTATCTAATGATTTAAAATATTTCAATTGAAGGATTCCATAATTTATTTTTAATTTAAATTTACAGGATATTATTCTCCTCTTAATAAATAGTCTGCTGTCTCAAATCATCCTCAGTGATCTTTTCCTTGTACTTTTTTTTAAATCCTTTTTCAATGAGTTTAATTATTTTAATATGAAGTTAAAATGCAGCAAAAATAGTATGTCCCCCAAAACATTATTTCCTATCACTATTAAGAATTTTCCTCTATATGTTGCTTTTACTAATTGTGTTTAAAAATGAATTAGAAAGCTCAGTTCTCAAATAACAAAAGATAAATAAAAATTTAGCTGTACCAAATTTCATTAAAAAATTAAAGTTTATATATTTAGATACTTCTTACATATACTAGGGAGCAAATTATACTAGAACAGCAATTATTTTTTTTTCCAAGTTCCCCTCTGTGTATACTTAAAATGTATCAGTATCAGTAAATTGTTTTTATTTAATCTGTATCTATTATGAAAAACTTGAACATTTTATCCAACAATCTAATTTATCTACACAATTCGCATTGAGGAATACGATTAAAAAAATCTTTGCATTTATCAGTTTTGCATTGTTTACAAAGTAACATTTATGAGGTAGATGTTTGGATAATAAAGTCTTAATCCATATTCTTTTTTTATTTATTCTATCTATCTTCCGGGATCAGTTTTTGCCAACTCGGAGAGGTATACCTAGAAAGGTATGTTCAAATATACTTTATGTACATATATCCCATAATTTGTATGGCACATTAGAAATGCTGTATTGAAAATCAAATTGACCTATTTAGTGAATGTTGACTCTCTTCTCTTATGGTAACAATTTAGAAAGTTAGAGATAAATAAATAAGATACAGTAAATCAGAAAGACCTGAAATCCTGAGCTAAATGAATTGCAAGAAATATTCAACTATAATAAAATGAATTATTTTAAGGAGCAAAAACTTACTCAAAAATAATCTTGATATAAATGGTGATTTAGGGATAATTAATACATTTTAATACAGGAGTGGGATAGCCTTGGCTAGTAGGACGTTAGGCTCTTGTCCGAGAGGTCTCGAGTTCGATCTCTACCGGCTGAAGATTTCCCGTGCTCAAAATGGTGACTGACGCGTGCTAAATCTACCGGGTCACAAAGTCCTCCACGTTCCCTCAACGAATCATACCTCTATCGGTACTGGATCGGAGATTGATCGTGCTCTGGTTCAGATCAAAGTTACGATCTGCAGATGGATGGTTTGTGAGTGTATGTATTGTCTCCGGATCAGCCTCAGGGATATTTCTCAGACCGTCGCCTAAACCCGACGTAAATAAAAGTTCCATGCCGTACCATTTTATTACTTTTGAACCTTAATTCATCGTTTCCCCTTATGTATTGTCTTTTTTTCCGTTACTGTCACAAATGATATATTTATAACGTTCATAATACCCGTTTACAATGTTTCTGAAACTAAAAGATTCACGCGTCTATCGTAACAAACATTTTCCCGACACTTGACTTATTTCGCTCTTGGACGGATTTCGCTCTTGACTAAATTGGCGTAAAAACATATACTCTTGGTGGATTTGTTACATTTTGGGAAAAACACCTCAAAGATCATGTTTGATGTCTAATTTTCAGTTGATGAAAATGCAGAAACTTCTGGTGGGATGTCAGTTAAAAAAATGGTAGCAGAAACAAATGATACAGATGAAACAGAATCAAAAACATTTTGGAGCCTTTGAAACATTAAGAAATTTTCTGTATTCACACTTATTAACAGAAAAAGTCAAAAATTTATTGTTTGTGTAGAAAAGAAAAGAGAGTGTTCAAACCAAAATTTCTCCATATTTTAAATAAATAAATATGTTTACACGTCTTTCTTTCGCAGAATAAATAATTTTTCCATTAAGTACATAATTTCTTCACTTAAAATTTTTCATACGTATTGTAAATTTATTAATTTTCAAGTCCATTACTGCCGTATTACTTATCATTCGTTGTAGTTATATGTTCACTCGCATTCAATATTTTCCCGTATCTATCGTTCACTTAAGGGTCCCATGAGAAACGATCTCTGGAGGTTCTACTGTTAATTATTGCAACTTCGCATACATGTTCAACTGTTATTTTCAAGCTCATACAGGGCTTAAATTTATGTGGTTCTAAGCAATCTTACATTGAGGCAGTAATACTTTAGTTCTTTACATACTACTTTTTTAAGTTTTGTTTGAATTTTAAAATGGAGTGTAGAAATAATTCTTCTGTACTTTAGAAAGATCGGTTTCCTAGAAAGGAAGAAAACAACCCTAAAGCTATCGACCAAACTCCAAACGAAGCCGAGTGTGGAGCACATGAGGAAAAAGAGGATCTGCAGAACATGCCATTCCAAAAAAGAGTACCTCATGACCGAGACAGAAGTAAAAATACCGGTGTGCAATTTTTTGTTAAAATTCTTTGAGGCATTACATGTTGAAACATGCATATCTTATCCATATTCTGATTTATTTTATTTATATTTTCTTATTATATATGAATTTTGCTATCTATATTTCATTGTTTGTCTTAGTTTAACACGGGAATTTGAAACGTTGCTACATGCAAAGCGAGGGGGGGGATGTCCAAGAACAACTTTTGATCTTAAATTATAGTATTTTCACGTATTAAGACTCAATCTTAATGGTTTGATGGCCTAACCTTAAATATATTAATTATTTTGTACGCACGATATTTTCAGTTACACTGTTAGAAATTTCTCGGAAAAAATAGTTAAATAATAATTTATTGAACGGCTTATCCCGAGCCTATAGCCGAGCGGGCTCATCAGTCAATCTCATGACCGGCAGAACTGGAGTTCGAGTCCTAGTGTTGACACAACAATATTTCCTCCATTTCCTTCAACACATGAGGAATTTCCAGTGTCCGGCTCTCCAATGCTCATTACCTTATGAAAAGCCGAGCTCCTATGTCTAGTTAAATAATAATTTTTTTTACGTTTTTGAAAAATGCTAGTTGTAAATGGTTAAAAAAACCGTTTAGTTTTTTATTCATGGTTTTATAACCAGATTTTTTGTAAATGGTTTGAAAACCATGAAGGAAAAAAACGTTCTTTACCGTAAACTTTACGATTAATCGGATGGACAGACAGCTACCAGTTATTTTACCATAATTTTAGAATGAAAATCTTAACAGTGTATGATACCTAACAAAAAAACGTACTTTATCTGAATATACATATCTTTCATACATAATATTGTACATATATTTAGTTACAGTTTTCGACTGATTTGAGTTATTGACCCACTACCAGTCTAGGTTCAGTCAGTCCAGTTAAATTGGTTCAGAAGAAGAGTCGAAAGTTTGAACTCCTTTAAGATATTTATACTTTTTTGTGTATTTCGTCATATTTTAAGTGATTAAAAAAAATTACGCAATTATAAAATTCCTTTAGAAAAGGAAATTCCATGCGGGGAAAAAATATACAAAATTTGAGAGAATAGTTTCTGAGTTATCAAATTTTTTTAAAAAAATTAGTACATTTAAACTTTGATTTCACACGAATTCGTTCAAATGTAGAGTTTTGTTACATAAAATTACGTTTTTTAAAATAAAGAAAAAATACCTCGCAATATTGAATATATTAATTTGTATATTGAATATAGTAATTTGTATACCTCGCAATGCAAAATTCTTTCGATTCTTATTAAATGAAATAAAAAATAATTATTCAAATTATTTTTTGCATAGAATTATTTTTGGATAATTGAATTTTATAATTATATGCTTATATTTTTTATTTTGCTTAAAATTTTTTCGAGGTATGGCGAAATAGCAAAAAGGAAATATTAACATGTAAGGGGTTCAAACTTTATTACCGTTCACCTGATCAAATTATTGCGATACGTGCAATGTTAGAAATTTCTTCGAGAAAAATGGTCAAATAACAATTTATTTATAAGTTATTTTGTCATATTCTAACAAAACAGTTATATAACCATAAATAAGATGGTAATCAAACTGTTAACTGTAAGGAAACACAGTTTGTTAACTGTTTTCATCTAATACGATTAAGCAACCAGAATTTTATCACACCACCTAAGCTCACCTAATGACACCTAATTCCTTTCAACTGCTCACTTATTATAGCAGAGAGGACTAATCTGGTAGTCTCATGAACGATAGAACTGGGGTTCGAGTCTCAGTCTTGACACCACACTATTTCCTCTATTATTTTCAAAATATGGAGAGTTTCCAATGCAATGCACTCCTCAATTAGTGTTCTGAATTATCCAATGCCCATTACCTAACGAAAAGCTTAGCTCCTATGTTCAGTTAAATTTTGTTTTCATGGTTTTGAAACTATGCTAGTTGTAAATGGTTTAAAAACCGTTAAGGTAAAACATGTTTTTTACCGTAAACTTTAGAGTTAATCGGATGGACAGACTGCTGCCGGTTATTTTACAATAATTTTAGAATGAAAATTCCTACAGTGTACGATAATATAATACTAATAAGATATAATAACAAAAATTGCTAAATTGTTGGAATGGATAGACTAATGAAATACAGGGTGTTTATAAAGTCCCGGACCCATTTTGATGTTTAATAACTCATAAAATAATAAAGATAGATTAAAATTAATAACGTAAATGGTTAGATAGATTTAAAAAGTTTTATGACCTTTGTCAATGAACTTCCACGAGTGCCCCCTTTGTCGCACGGAGAATATCAAATCGATAGACAATTTCACGCCAGGTAGCGGCAAGCATGTCGGCATCCACAGAGGCTACTGTGGTTGTAATTCTGGCATTGTTAATCGCCATAATGTGTGCATATGGGGATCTGAAAACCCCATAAATACCGTGAGACACAAAGGGATTCCCCAAAAGTGTGGTGTGGACTAATGCACGACCGAGTCATTGGGCTTTTCTTTTTTACAGAAAAGACGGTCTCATCAGTCGTATACTTAGAGATGTTGGAAAACTTAGTACTTCCACAGCTAGAAAAGCTTCTGCCACATGTCTTTTTGCAACAAGATGGTGTACCACCTCATTGGGGTATCATCTTTCGTAGTTCTTTGAATGACCATTTTCCAGGAAGATGGATTGGGCGAGGAGGTCCAATTCCTTGGCCACCCAGATCACCTGATATAACGCCGCTGGACTTTTTTCTTTGGGGATTTATAAAGGACAATGTTTACAGGAGGATCGTGTCGAACATTGATGACCTAAAAGCCAGAATTACAACCGCAATAGCCTCTGTGGATGCCGACATGCTTGCCGCTACCTGGCGTGAAATTGACTATCGACTTGATATTCTCCGTGCGACGAAGGGGGCACACGTGGAAGTTCATTGACAAGGGTCATGAAACTTTTTGAGTCTATCTAACCATTTATGTTATTAATTTTAATCTATCTTTATTATTTTACGAGTTATTAAACATCAAAATGAGTCCGGGACTTTATAAACACCCTGTATAGCTCCGTAAATTATGCTTTATTTTACATTTCAAATCAAGGAAAGAGAAAAATAATCTTTCTCTCAATATTATTATTTTACGCAAGTATCTTTTTAAAAGTAATGGCGTTCTATTAATAAGACTATTTAAATCAATGGAATAAATATGCAAATAGTAATGAATGTGCCTTTTTTTCAAAATTATGTCATTGCAATTAACCTATTTGTTTCTCTTCAAAAGAAATGAAAAAAAAAGACTTAAAATGACTTTAAATCTGTTTCAATGTTTCTTATTTCGCTTCTTTCTCTTTAAGCTCGTAACATGGTAACATCTGAAGATTGGTGGACGTCTACAAAACGTAGTAAAGACAGCTATAGTCTTGTTGATCCCAATAAATTAAAACTAACTAAGGTATGTTTGTTTTGACAATAGTATATTGCTTATTTTATTATTCATATTGTAATAGTATTAGTTTAACTACCATTATTTTCTACTATTATTCCATTATTGTGGACTAATTTCCGTTTCTTTTTCATTTTGCGGAATTTTATTTGATTTAAATTTACGGCTGTTTAACGGCAGAAATAATATTGATGTATACTATTTTAAAAATAAGATGATAAATAAAGGAAAAATCCTTTTAAATTTAATTAATATCTCTTCTCATCATTGTGAGAAAAAAAATTGTTTACTGAGATTTGCGAAGAGCAGATTCTAGGACAATTTTTTAATCCCGTAAATAAAAATAGTCTTTGATAAGAAGAGACTAGAAAAGACTAGAAAGACCATTAAGACTAGAAAACTGTACCTTTACATATTTCTTTTTTTAAACATATTTTTTATAACATAGTTATGCAGTTAAAAATCTCTTAACATAATTTTCATATAGTCTCTGAAACTGTTTTAATTCTTTTGGTACATTTTTTTCTCTAAAGATTGCTTTACTTAACACTTATATATTAAAATATAAGTTGCCATATAATTAAAATTTATTGCAGACTTTAGTGAGTGAAAGAAAAAAAAATTATGCTATCAAAATGCTAATAAGTTTTAATTTTGTTTTCTGAAGCCTGATGATGTCGACAGCATAAAGCTTGGACGAGGAAGATCGCTGCGAAGTTCGAGTGGAAGTGAAACTGACAGTAGTTCTGGCTCTTCCAGTACTGAGAGGGCAGCAGGTTGTATTCTATTTATTTTATTGATATTGTAATTATATTTGAATTATGAAAAATTCTCTTTTATTTAAATTTCCTTTTAGAGCAAAATTGAAGACCTGCCAACATTTTTAATCTTTAGTTCCTTCGGCCATAATTTAAAATGCTTGTTCGTCGACGATATTTCTTTTAGAACAAAGCAATTAAAAAATTCTATCCTGGATTGGAATGTCATTTTTACTTGATACGTTATTTCAGACAAGCTCTCTTAAACTCTGAAACAGTTCTATATTAATTGGTTAAAATAAATTGATATATCGGATCCTAGTTCCCAGCGGAATCAGTCTTCGCTAAAATCTAATCTCTCTTCCTAATTTTTTTGCTAATTTCGACATCCATTTAAGCTCGTACTTTTAATATTAAACTACCGAGCGAAGATTTTTTTTTACATCGATGTATAATTAGTCATTATTTAAAGCAAAAAAAAAATGAGAATAAATTTCTGAACCACTTAAAATTGCCATAAATTTTAATCAAATTTAATATTCTGGAGAAAAAAAATACCTCGTGTTAAGTTCATAAATAAAAATGACCATTTCCGCAAGTGCAATTTAAGCTCTGCAGTTGCATTTCCATGGTCTGTTGAGCGACCTGCATAATATTATTTATTGCAACAGTTTAAGAATAATTTAATAATCGAATGTTAAATTTCTTCCCCCATTATACTCCTTGAACTTTTTTTACAAATCTTCGTCAACTCTAGTTTCTAAATTTTGCAGTTTTTTGCGATATTTAATATCGAGAGAAATAATTTTTGTGTGTTCTAAAAATAACCAATATCTAGCAGTGGCGGATCCAGCGGGGGGGGGGGGTCATATGGCTAAATTTAAACATTGAGTTCGAAGTAGTTACTTTTTGTTTATCTTTAAAAAAAAGTATTTCATTTCAAATGAATAATAGTTAGCGTGATTTCAAAACTATTTTTCTGAACTTTATTTTCCTTTTTCTCTTTTAGCTGAAAACACTGAAATATCTGAAGATGGCTTGATGTCTTCTATAAAAAATGAAAACAGCTATCGCAATGTTGATCCTAATAAACTAAAACTGACTAAGGTTAGTTCGTTTTGTTAATAGTATATTAATTGTTTGATTAATCAAGTTGTAATGATTTTATTTTCAACTCATTATGTGCGTACTACTTGCCTGAATTGCAGGCATTCTTCATCTCTTTTTTTTCGGTTTTAGTTGGGAGAGGGGAATTTTTTTTGTTCTTTATGATTAGTGAAGAGCAGATTCCGGATAAGATTTTCCTTGAATAATATTCTCTCTGATCAAACTCTTTAGACTAAGAGGCTTTTCCTTTTTATACATTTTCATTTATTGAAAAATATTTTATGTAATATTGTGATCTAGTTCAAAATGATCTGAACATAGTTTTCAAAAGTTTACAAAACTGCCTTAATTTATTATGGTACTTTTCTTTTGTTTTAAAAAAATGCGGTTTATATACACAGTTTATGATAACGATTTATACTTCTAATTCGAATTTGTCATATTATTAAAATTGATTACAGACTCAAGTGAGATACAGCAAAAAATATTATATTATCGGAAAACTTAAGAACTTTAATTTTGTTTTTTTAAAGCCTAGTGATGTTGAGAGCATAAAGCCTGGTCCAGAAAGAGCGATGCAGAGTTTGGGTGGAGATGAAACTGGTGGTAGTGCAGGTCCTTCTAAACCTGAGAAGGCAGCAGGTAGCATTCTGATTTATTTTCTTAATATTTTTGTTTTATTTGAACTATGATAATTTCTCATTCATTTAAACTTCCATTTAAAGCAAAATTTAAGACCTGTTAATATTTTTAATCTTTAACTCCATCTCATATAATTTAAAATTCTTGTTTGATAGACAGTGTTCCCTTTTGGAACAAAGCGATGGAAGAATTCTATACTGGATTGGATGATCATTTTTATTTGATACGTCATTTCTGTCAAGTTCTCTTTAACCCTGAAACAGTTTCACTTTAATTGGTTAGAATAATTTGATTTCTAAAAGCCTAATTTGCCTTTAAATCAGTCTTCATTGAAATTTAATCTCTCTTTCTATTTTTTCGTTACTTTTGACATCATTTTAAGCTTTAGCTTTTAACTTAAAGATATCGCGAGAATATTTTTTTTCATAAATGAATAAATATTTATTGAAAGCAAGGAAAAATAATAAATTTCTGAACCACTTAAAATGGCATTAAATTTCGAACAAATTAATGTTTTAAATAAGGAAAAAAACTCAAAAGTTGATAAATAAAATTGACCCTTTCCGCACATCAAATTTCAACGACCTGCTTGATATTATTAACTGCAAGTTTAACAGTTGAAATTTTTAAACTAATTAATGAATGTAAAAAATTTTTCAAGCACATTCCCTGAATTTTTTCTACGCACTTTACTGAACTTTAGAACTGAAGTGTGATTTCCAAATTATTTTTCAGTGTCTTTTTCCCCCTTCTTTCTTTTTTAGATCAAAAATCTGAATTGTCTGAAGTGGACGGGATATCTTCTACAAAAAGTAAAAGTGGCAATGATGATCCCAATACATTAAAACTGACTATGGTATATTTGTTTCGTTTATTGTTCATTAGTTGGACTACTGGATTGTTCAATTTGTGATAGTTTTCGTTCAACTCACAGTACATGAACTGTTGTCTAAATTGTTGGCGAACTTCACTTTTATTTTTCATTATACGATAACTTTATCTGGTTTAAGGAACCCTCTGACCTGATCAGAAATAACCCAGATATGTACTGCATTTAAAAATAAAATGATAATTTATGGTTCGATCATAATTCATTCATTGGGTTAGTATACGTATACTAACCTAATGAATGAACTAACCAATGAATGTTCATTCACGCTGCACTAGAGCTGCACAATGGGCACAATGGTGACTGTCTGGAAAACATCCCTGAGGATTATCCAAAGACATGCCATAACAATTTTGATCCTTTGCAGAAGGGATGTCACCCATGCTTCAGTAGCCCGACAACCAGCACTCGAAGTCAAGCACTTTATGGTAGAACAGGTTAACGAGGAACCAATATCGCACACCCTCGGTCCCTACGCAGACTGATCAAAGTGGTCATCCACCTGCACACTGACCGAAGCCAGTAATATATATATATATATTATATATCAAATTCTGAAAAATGAATGATTTCTAAATGTTTGGCAAGTATAGTACAGCAACAAGATCATTAGAAATAAGTTTTCTGCTTTTAATGGTGTAGAAAACTTCCCAGAAATTCAAGTCAACGCATGAAATATTTTTATTGAATGGCATGAAGTGAATAAACATTGAACCTATGGCTTTTTGTAACGCGAAATTTTGCAACAGAGGAACGTTAGTTCGTAATTTTTGTAGTATTGATGTTCTTTGTTAGTGTGCATTTTCTTTTTTTTCTTTTTTTTTTGTTCGACAGTCTACTTTGGCATGAAATTTTCTAGATTCTCCATCTGTTAAGGCAATCAATATTTTTTTTAGGGTCGAGAAATTAATTTTGTTGTTGAAGGAAGAGATAACTCAATACATCGCAAAGAAGAGATAGTTCAATTGTTCAAAGAAGAGAAAACTTAACACATCGCAAAGAAGAGATAGTTCAATTGTTCAAAGANCCTGTAGTCCCAGCTACTCTGGAGGCTGAGGGAGGCTGGAGGATTGCTTGTGCCCAGAAAGTCAAGGCTGCAGTGAGCTTGTTCATACTGCTGCACTATAGCCTGGAAGACAAAGTGAGCCCCCGTCTCAAAAAAAAAGAGGTTGGCTTCAGGAATGTGTGTGTGTGTGTGTGTGTATATATATATATATATTCTAAACATTTAAATTAAGAAAATGAGTAATGAAAACTTTTTTCTATCTTATGCATTCTATCTAAGCAATAGTTCATTAAGCAAGTAATGTTTAATTTCGTTGGGAGTTTTGTCCCCCAAAACCTCCTCAAAACTACGCCACTGATTACTAATAAAGATTACAATAGATTTAGACAAGCAATTCTGATGAGTGGGAAAAAAGAAAATACTAGCAAAGAGAATGAAATATTATTATTAATTTTTTAATAGAAGAGAGATAATGTTTGTGTGAACTAATTATGCAATTAAAGTAATTCTTTTTATTAATCTCATTATACTGAGAAGCATAATCTAATTTGCCAAAAAACGAATTTCATTTAATAAATGGTACGAATACAGACTTGCTAACGTTTTCAGTTTCAGCCGAATTTTTTTCTTAAATATCTAAATTTGCAGCAATTTTCCTAATTTAATATTTTAATTGAATTCCACGGTATTCAATAATCTGCACTTAAATCCTAGTGAATAAGCGGAAATATGTTTAAATCCTGTCGAAGTTTTAAATACATTTTGTTACCGATATGTTATTTTAAATATTGCATATTTTAAAGCAAAATTATCCAATTTACAACTTTATACGCAAGCTGTTATGATTCATAATACACTTTGTTAGTTGTTAGAAGTGTACATTAATTCGCAAAAATATCATTTCAGGTCACGTTTCTTTGCGTTCAACAAATACGGGGGGGGGGAACTGAGGATAGTTATATTGGGACAAAATAAATTAATTAATAAACATAAATGGTCGTCAAGACATCAAAGAAGTTATTCAAACAATATGAACCATAATGCTTTTTATCTCATTTCGTGCTCAATTTTGGCTTAAAGTGAACAGTTCTTATTTCGAAAAAAAAAAGTTGACAAACCAGGTCAAATTTCACAATATATCATGCAATATATCATGATACTGAAGAATTCGTTTAACACTATAAAACATAATACACTTGATAATTTCAGTTTGCAAATTTTTAAATTATCCACAGCAGCTAGCTTATTCCTTAATGTGAAGGTGATGAGCTTGTTGTTAACAAAATTCCGTTGTACCATTAAAAATCTAGTTGATTTTTAATATTTTATCCTTGTAGATTTGATTATTTTTATTATTTATTATAATTTTTTATATTGTTATTGATATCGTTTCATTTCTTTCTAGCAATTATCTACTGCAACAAGCAATACACCTCATGATACGAATACGCAGGCTGCTGCAGCTCAACCAGAAAAGTATCCTAACTCTGGTGGAATGCCTACTGCTCAGCAGCACTATCAATGGATGTCTGGTCCAACATATAATCCTCAACCTGCTACTTTAGTACAAAATTCCCCCTCATAGTCATATTTTATTAAGATATAAAATGTTTTCCTCCTGTTCTTTAAAAATTATGGTGTTCCTTTAAAAAATAAAAGACCATCATTTTTAGTGCGAATTATCTTTTGAACTTTCATATTTTTTTTATCTATTTATTTATTTTTTATTTTCTTATTTTATCAGTTTAAAATTCTAGTTTAGGCTTTTTGTAGTACACTTAGTATTAAGAAGAAATAAAGTAGGCTCAAATAACTATAAATATCTGACTGTATTTAGTTATTTGCTTTTGTATTTTTATTAGCTATTTTATTGCTTCAACTCTTTATCTACTTTGTTTTTTAAGTTTAAAATCAATAAATATGAAGATGCAGAGTATAACATTTTTGGTTATACCTATCATTTCAATTAATATTATTATAATATTTTTTTTAATTTATTGTTGTATTTTTGTCGGAGAAAATAGTAATTTCGGTTAGTCATGAAAAATTCTTGGAATTATTCATGGAAAGTCATGGATTTGAAAATTTAAAATTTAGCAGATACCCGATATGTATATGTTTTAAATGCGGCATATTTTTAAATGCATTTTGTTACTTATATGTTATTTTAAATATTGTCATAATTAAATATTGAATATTTTAAGTATTGTATATTAATTACCACGTATTTCTATTTACAGGGCTACTATACAGCTCGAAGTAGCGTGCCCCGAACTATACCAAACATGGGTATGACGCCATTGCAAATTGTAGTCAACCAAGCAGGGCAACAACCAACATCTCACTATGGACAGATACAGATGTTACCTCCCTTTTCTCATCCCATGCAACCAGTCATTGTGAATCCCCAATTTCAACAAATGGTTCATACTTCTCTCCTTTTAATAATCATTTTCTACTTGCATATTTTATTTGGTATTCCATGAGTGAAACTTCATAGTACTATAGAAAACATCTTTTTAATAATTTATTTTCACCTGAAACTTGGACTACAATTGCTACAATAATTGTGTGTCAATTTCGTTGCAAATCTCAAGTTATTTGATATTCCATGAGTGAAACTTCATAGTATTATGGAAAACATCCTTTTAATAATTTATTTTCACCTGAAACTTGGACTACAATTGCTACAATAATTGCTTAATTTGTGCCAATTTCGTTGCAAATCTCAAGTTATTTTTCGACTGTTATTACAGCGCCTTTCAAAATGGTTTTAAAAGACTAATACTTTTGAAGCTATATTATTACGAATCTCGAAGTTTACGCATTATCACTTTTTAACACGTTCTCTTTGTAATAATTTCATCCTAAATTTAGGTCATTTCCTTATGANACTACAATTGCTACAATAATTGCTTAATTTGTGCCAATTTCGTTGCAAATCTCAAGTTATTTTTCAACTGTTATTACAGCGCCTTTCAAAATGGTTTTAAAAGACTAATACTTTTAAAGCTATATTATTACGAATCTCGAAGTTTACGCATTTAAATAATCACTTTTTAACACGTTCTCTTTGTAATAATTTCATCCTAAATTTAGGTCATTTCCTTATGATAGTTTCGTATGCTTTCCACGTTCCTACGCTTTTCCACGAGATTCTGAGAATCCATATTTTTGCTTAAATATTCGAATACAATTTCGAATCACACTGTTAAGTTATAACTTTTAGACGCTCTTTATTTATGCCGATTTCCTTGTAAATTGCTTCGATCTTTTTTTAGGAGTTATTGCTATTCTTATTTCCACGCAGTTTTAAAATTTCCGATATTTTATTTCAATATTATTAATATTGAATAGCAGATTAAAATACTAATTACGTGTTGATACGCTTTATTCTTGCCGATTTCATTTCAAAATAATGTGTTCTTTTTCTTCTGGCAGTTATTGCTGCATTTTTCCTTGTGATTTTATTGATTCTTTGATAAATGGAAAATTTTAAACTCTATTTTTCGTAATATTTTTTTTTGTAGTTTAAGTGATTGTTTGTTTTTTTTTTGGGGGNTTGGGGGGGGGGGAAACGTATTCTATTTAACATTCATGAAACCTCTAATTCACTAATTTTAACTATCTTAAATTTCAAGTGTATTTCCAACAGAATATTAAACCTTGTTTTGCCCTATAAAGAGGTTTTGTTTTTAATTTAAATCGCTTTAAATCTTATAAATTTTTATTAATTTAAATATTTAATTTAAATTTATATTCCTCTTTAAAATGATTAATTATTTTTCTGTGAGCATTGCAGTACTTTTATTGTCAGAATCTATTTTAAAATGAGCTTTTGTATTATATGAAGTAATAAAAAAAGCCATTACTTTTACCTAATGTTTATATTTATTTTACAAAATCTGCATTTTGGAAATTTGTTTTTTAAAGTATCAGTTTTTTCTATTTTTTTAATCTATTTAAACAGTAATTTTCTGACCTTAATTGATTGATGAAAAGGATTTAGAGCACAGTACACTATACTACATAATAATAACCATATTTACCATCGGTATGTCTCAATACCTTCTTTAATCAACCTGAGATGCAAATGTCTCCTCACCCAAGAAAGTTGTGCACCGCTTTTTTAAATAATGGCAATAATAAATATTTCAACCGCTGCTATGTGGCATTAGCATGAAGCAACTTCATAAAAAAATTTCCCTATTGTTATTATTTCTGTTTTTTTTTAATTATTATTTTTCGATTTCGTGTTACATTTACAACATTTTTGGAAGCACACCACTAAAAATTTTCCATAATATACTTCTCAAAATGTTTTCAAATTGATTATAAGAAACTTTAAATCCATTAATAGATAAAGATTTTGATCAGGTGTTGGCAATTTATTATTAAGCCTTATTAAGAGATCATGTCATTCTCTATTATAAATTAATGATTGTTAAATTATATCATTTGTTAAATAATGTAAGAAAATAAGAGTTAATAAATTTACTTGACTAAGATAGTCCTCAGAGTTACTTTTTAGACTCATTTTTACTTCATGTTTTTTCTTTCTTGAAATCTCATTGCTGCTATCAAAAATTCTTAAAACATCTACAAATAATTGATCCTGCAATAGGAGAAGTCCTTTTTGACGGCAGCAATGATGATGAGGATAGTTCTCGTCCAATACCAGAAAAAGAAACTGTAAGCAATGGTTTAAGAATGATTCATCGATTCCTATGTTGCAGTCTTCATTGAAATAATTTAAGCGACCTAACATGATAAAATCTAATCAAATATAATTTAAGCAGTAAAAAATCCTTCATTTGATACTCGTTTTCTGTATTTTCCAGGCGTTTTATCTCAGCATTCTTGAAATTTTGCATCTTCTCCTGCTTTCGATCAAAAGACTTGGTTAAGGATTGCAAAACTTTGATATGCAATCCATCCACAAAGTATATGTTGATGGATTCAGCTTATGTTGAATCCATCCACAAAAATATTTAATAAGGATTGAAGTGATCAGGATTTGTTTCAGAATTTTTAGGAAAATGAATAATATCTTAACCGCTTTCCTTAGGAATTTTTTTGGAAAAAAAAATGCAAAAAATCTACATATTTTTTTATTTCATGAATAATTACAAAGAACTAAAACAAAACATAATACACACGTTCTAAGTTGAAAACTTAATTTTTTATGTGTAAAAAATATTTAATTTGCCATCAGTTTACCATCCCAAATTATCTTGGGTCAATGGAAAAAGTTAAATATTAGTCTTTGTGTATATATATATATACACTACCGGTCAAAAGTTTGCGAAAATTTTTAAATCTGCAAAGAAAAGGCCTAAATTCAAATGTTCATAGAACTGCGAAAAATCATTCAAATGGCATGAAAATTTGATATGTTCTGAAGTGAACCCTCTACTGTTAGTTACATATGATCAAATTGCAATACTTTGTTTTTTGCGAACTGAATCCAGCTTTTCATCACGGATTGTTTTTATGGTGTTAAGTTGTTAAGTTTGAACACTTGCCAAACTTGCAAAAAATATTTTTTGTACTTTCTGTTGATAGAAAATAGTTATTTGAACAGTTCTATGTAAGCCCTCAAAATTTCAAATCGATCCGATTTTTTTTGACGAAGTTATAGAATTTT